ACTCCTCAGAGGATCGGAATTCATCCTATGTTGAGGCCCGGACGACAGACAAATCAACAAATATTTCCCGAGGATCGTCCGAGATCTGAGGTTCGCTTTCTTTAAAGACAACCTGAGCGGCCTCAACAACGTGAACCTTAGACCTAGCAGTGGTCAGGCCCACCCGAAGTTGACCAAACTCAGCCTCAAACTTCTTTTGCTCCTGATCGGCAGCCTGAAGCACTGCAGCAGTAGCCCGCTCAGCAGACATCCAAGCCCTGATCAGCTCCTCCTCTCTTTCAAACCGAGCAAGCTGGAGCTGAACACTATAGTAGTCGGCCTGCAAGATAAAACAGTTATTTACCGAATGGCATTAAAGACGAACAAAGAAACGAACGATGGGAATTTACCTTAAGAGTGGCAAGGGCGACCCCTGTCTCAGCCTGCTTGACTGTAAGCTTGGGAAGGCGGTAATCATTCATCATGGCGGAGGTACTAACAACCCGACAGGTATGGCATCCACCTTGTTCTATGATCGCATGGAGCGGGTCTTCCATCAAAATTGGCTCCATAGGCTTGGAAACAAAGGCATGTTCGGCCCCAACATCGACAACACCGAATGAACCCGGGGCATCATTAAAAAGAGGGTTGTTTTGCAGATCCCCAAACTGCTGATCTACCGCCATATCGGTAAAGTTTACCTCCTCAAGAGGCACTTGTCGAAGTGGTTGAGGCTGCTGAAGCTCAGGTTGGGCGGCCGATTGGGTGGTCTCATGGGCTGAGGTCCTAGCCTTCTTCTTGGTCGGCTTCTTTTTCTTAGCCGCACCCATTTCTTCAAGACGATTCCTGTTCATGACTGCTTCAGTATTGGGAGCTGAAAAAATAAAGGAAAATGTTAGTACCGAGTAGTCTTAGCGTGTGTGAAACAAGCATGTATGTAAGTTTCGCGCACGGTAGGACCGCCCGAGCCATGACACTTGGTTTTCAGTCAAGAAGTCCAGGAATTCGGGCGGTACCTATCCGAGCTCCCACAAGCCGAGCGGGAGGTAAGTAGTCCATAATGTCCAGCGTCCTGGCCCTCTCCACAACGATGATCTTCTCTTCTAGCTCCTTAGAAAGGAAGGGCTCGTTGGATTTGGGCGGATACGCATTCCACCTCTGTGGGATAAGGCCATCTGGGATGGAAACAAAAAAGAATCGGTCTTTCCACCCCTTGATGGAGGTAAGGTTCCCCTTGAAGAGAATCCGCCTCGTTCGGGCACTCGCTGCCAGGAATCCGTCGATCTGTTGGGGAGCGACCTTGAAGAAATGTTGGAAGACGTCCAGATTGGGCACTAGATCAACATCCACGCAACAGCAAATAAACCCAGCAATGACCCAATAGGAATTTAGCATTATTTAGGCCGGAACTACTTGGTAATGATTAAAGAGAGCCACAAAGAAAGGGTGCAACAGGAACCTTAACCTGGCCTTGACGGAATCGAGATGCACCACCACCATTCTGGGGCGGTGGCATAGGGGATGGAGGCCAGCATGAAGGCAAAAATCAACCGGGTCAGGAATTAGGGCAGGAATCTGGGCTCTGAGTTTGGGCGAGAGTTTTTGCCTTTCATTTTTAATGGACCTCAACTCCAGGTGGTGATGAGGGGTATCGTCAGGAGGGCCTTCCTTCATCACCACTACATCATCGCCGGATTCCGCACTATCAGAACCACCACCCGAAGTCTCACTAGAAGATTCGCCGGGGTGGGCGTCTCCGGAACCGCTAGTAGAAGGGGCATCTTCGGCCACATTTTCTGCAGCGGCACTAGTGCCCTCGATGTCATCCAAAGTGGCATCCATCTCAGAATCCCGACCCAACTCAATAATTGAGGGGTCAGAAGAACCAGAACTCTTTGACATTTGTGCCGAACTGGAAGAGAAAACAGAAAGAAGAACATTGGTGATTACTTGAGCGAGCCTGGGAAAATTAGGGATTTGGAGAGAAGGCAGAGCGCTTGGATGAAGATGCAAAATTTGAAAACCCGGGTCCAAGGGCCCAAAGTCATACTTATACCAAAAGGCGCCGATTCGCGGACCAATCCCAGGCGAACACATAGCAAGGGATGCTCCAAGGGACACGTGTCGAATGGAGGCGAAACGTCAAGTAATCATGACGATTACATGGGGAATACATGCGACATTCACCATAGAGTTTCGAACCGTCATGTCATGAGCTGGCAAGCACTACCAAAGAGCACGAACGGGATCACACCGAACGGTGGAAAGATCACTTTTTCTACTTCCTTATGTCCCGAGCACGCTCGGAACATCAGAAGTGGGGGACTTGTGATGGGATATTAAGGTCTGGCCCAATACGGTGGCCCAAAATATCCCTGAAGCCCAGGCGCAAGGAAAGGCCCGGGGAGAATCACCAGGCCCGAACGGCAGGCCCTAATTGGCACAGCCCGAATGGGATATAATTACTACTTGGGTAATTAGTTTATTCCTGATTGATGGCTTAGCTGGACTTAATCCCGAACGAACATTGCTCGAGTAACCGATTGCAGTTAATGCTGGATCATGGGGGCGTCAAGTGGCATGGGAGGCACCTCATAACCCCATCTAGTATAAATAGCAGTATTTAATTCATTGTAAAAGTTAGCATTTGTTTACTCTCAAGCTTATATTGCATTCTAGCTCTTGTATTAGCCTCTGGGCCGTAATTACCGTTCGACCATTTCCGTGTAATCAGTATTACTGTGTTAATACAAGCAAGACTATTTGAGTGAATCTATGAGTTTTTATATTTCTTTTATACTCATTACTGTAGCAACTTTACCCTAGATGCAAGGTTGATGTTGGGCCTTCGGGTCATTCGTTACTTAAACTCAACAAGTCCTTTAGCCCTTATATATACTTTTTTACAAAGCATAATATTCAAGTTTGTCCTTTACCAGTCAAACGGATTAGAGTTCTCTTTGTCAAGAAGTAATGATATACGGAGTATATTATCAATATGCGTCTATAATTCAAAGACAGCAGGAGGATAAACGAGGAGTGCAGCCCTTAGATCTTGTAAATGGAAATTGGAGGATAATGTGTTAAAATCCATGGAATCTATGGAATTCTTTTAAAATTCATAAGATTTACAATCTTTAGAAATCCTTTAAAATCTGTGTTGAGGACACCCCCTTAGAAATAAGGAGATTTGGAAAATTCATTGGGAAAGTTCCCGAAATATGACCAAAATACTTTGAAAATTTCAAAATAAGACTGTCATATTTTTATTCACAAAATAGAACTAATTACTATCATGTTTCGAAAATACTGTCATGTTTGAAGTCTGGTACTGCCAAAAACATGCCAATAATTAGTCCTATTTTAGGAATAAAAATATGACAGCCCTATTTTGGAATTTTCAAATTGTTTTAATCCTATTTCGGGTGATATTCTCTAATTTGGTTTGAAAATTGAAAGTACTCTTTATGTTTATGATTAAAGTTCAAAATTTTTTAGTGTTTCAAAATAATTTTTATTTTTTCTTTTTAGTAAATAATTTATTATTCATAACAATTTTTATACGATAGTACATTTTTACACATTTCTCTCTCTTATGTACAATTTTCCACCATACAATACACACGATCCTCAAATGTACTATGGAAGTTAATTTTGAGACAGAGGAAGTTAATTTTGAGACAGAGGGACTATGGAAGCTTAACATAATTCGCTCAAAGTGTATTTTTGTAAGTTTTTAAGAGACTACAAGTTTAATAAAAATGAGTGTTCAATTTAACTCATGATTGGTAGGTGTAAGTCCCTATTTTGTAACTTGTATACTCCCAAGAAACTATATTATCTTTCATGTTTTAAATCTGCCAAAATTTTATCACTTTTTATTTTAATCAATAAATTTGTGGTTTCTAGTATTTCTCTTTTAACCACATGATTTTGCTTTATTATTTTCTAGTCCTAATCAAACTTTGTAAAGTTTGGGGAACATAGGGAGTACTATTTAAAGTGTTAAAAAAGTTACATCGCGTTCTTCTATTCTTCCGTTGAAGCTCATTGATAACTTGTCTTGCGCTCTATCGATCAATGGCTCATCGTGACATTCAAAAAAGCCACATCCTTCTGAGTATATACATCAAACACAAGAATATGAATATACATGAAATTACATTTTCATGATATCTTCCTATTTTCATATCTTCAAGAATAATTAAAACAATACCTCATGATAAGGACATTCATGGAAGTGTCTCCCTCGATTCTTCGCAGCCCATGATGTCCAAAGTGACATTTTAACGCGAGTTTCATTTGCATTCCTGCATTTGCAAACCCTTGGACATCCAGGATGTCGCTCAACAATGTTCGAAGCTTCATTTAATCAGCGGAGTCAATTTTGCGTACCTCAGATGAGTTTGATGTTGAAGGAATATCCCACATCATTGGTTTCTTCTTCGTATATGTCTCCAAACTTTATTAATTAGGTATAAATTAATTAGAGTTGTTGGACACATGGGATTACATTTATTGAGAATTGTAACATGAACGAAAAACGATAAACATGATAACGAGGAAGGAGCATTTAACAAAAATGTTAGAGGGTGAGTGAAAATGAATAGAAAAATTTAAAATCTTTATGTCCAATCTAAACTTCATTAGAAAGCTTTGATGTCTTTTTTACTCTTTTTCTTATACTTAACACAACAATTTCAACAGATTTTTTAAAAATAAAAATGTTTTGTAAAAAGTTACCTAATATAAAAATAAATTAATTAAATTCCACTTTTGATTCTACGAGTATCACATTAATTCCATAATTGGTTCAAGTTTTTTACTTCAGCCACTTTTGAGACGCCTCAAATGTGTTTTCGCTCATATACAATTCTTTCAACAATTTTTAGATGGTTAAAATCATGGAGAAGAACTACAAATGGACAAAAACATTAATCAAATACGTATAAAAAACGTACAAAGTGAAATATATGTTCTCAACATAAACTCTCTGCTTCTGTTCACGATCAAAAGTTTCTATGAAAACGTCTTTTAGCATCAATACTTCGGTACGCATTCTGGGCGACAGGGCTCAAGCCGCTCCAGTGACTGTCTCATTTTTTTTGCTTTCCTGGGCATATCATCTTGGAACGGTATATTTCGGTACATATTCTAAAACTAAATTATCAATTATCCGTTTTCCATAACTCCAACTTCTAAGAATTCAATAGCTATTGAATTATGTTCTCAATTATGTTGCTTTATCCAATTAGCTGCTTTTTCTGCCTCTGCTTTCATTCATGTTAGAATAGAGGATTTTAGCTTAAGTATGAGTACTTCGTGTAGAGTCGTTACTCGTTAGACATGTTGCCAATTAGGGTTAGAGTATTTTATTTGATAACATGGATTGGAAATCATAACGCCTTTTTCGCAAAGTTTAATTACCTCCATGAATGGCACCACAGTGCTAAGTATCTGTGATCCATAACTCCATATCACTAGTCTTAAAAATGTATCTAACTGTGTTATTTAGAGCAGCCTCCCCACTGTTGGTTTTCCCTTGCTTGTGAAGTGGAGTAATATTTCCAATTTTGTATTGTCGGGGTTTATTAATAAAAGTGCTACCTTCGTTCGATTAATGTTAAACTGATGGTTAACATTATTTTTTGCGGCAGGAATTCTGGTCGCTCTAACCTGTTGCTTGTCTTACAAGATTCTTAGCAATTTTTTCAATTCCTTTCTGACAAATTTGTATCTTAGACATCTGTTGATTAGTTAAACAAGAAACCTTGTTGGACTCCTTATGAACCAAGTGAAAAAGATACACGCCCACACCCTAAGAAATGGTCTAGATTTTACTCAATTCTTGATTACTAAACTACTTGAAATCCCAAACATCCCATACGCCCACAAACTGTTTGACAATACTCCTAACCCAACAGTCTTCCTATACAACAAGCTCATTCAGGCCTACTCTTCTGATGGGCCTCACTCCCAGTGTTTCTCTCTCTACATCCAAATGTGCCGTCAGGGATGCTTCCCAAATGCGCACACTTTCACCTTCCTTTTTGTTTCTTGCTCCAACCTTTCGAATCTTAGATTGGGCCAAGTTCTCCATTCTGATCTCATCAAGCATGGCTTTCTACTTGATATATTTGCCTTAACTGCATTGATTGACATGTATGCTAAGACGGGCTCGATCGGTTCAGCCCGAAGGCAATTCGAGGAGGTGAAAATAAGGGATTTACCCACATGGAACTCTTTGATTGCTGGTTATGTCAAGAATGGGAATATGGATGAAGCCTTGCATTTATTTTCAACAATGCCTTCAAGGAATGTGATATCTTGGACTACAATGATATCAGGTTTCACACAAAACGGTCAGTATGGGGATGCTCTTGCCATTTTTAGAGAAATGGAAAAGGAGACTGAAGTTAGGCCAAATCAAGTGACCATAGCTAGTATTCTTCCGGCGTGTGCAAATCTTGGGGCTTTAGAGGTTGGCAAGAGAATCGAGGCTTATGCAAGGGAAAATGGATTCTTCCAGAATATGTTTGTTCGTAACGCTGTATTGGAATTGTACGTAAAATGTGGCAGGCTTGACACAGCAATGGAAGTTTTTGTTAACATGGGCAAGAGAAGGAACTTGTGCTCTTGGAATACTATGATCATGGGTTTAGCCATTCATGGCAAAGGCACTGAAGCACTCGAACTCTTCAACGAAATGTTGGTTAGTGCTCTTTAAATATGTTTTGGAACATTGTTTAATTCTTTCATTGCATACACATTTAGGCTCGGGTTCGTGTGGTTGGCCCTGGTAAATATTTGGGAAATTGCCCTAAATATGAGCAAATGAGGTTTGAAATTCCAAAATAGGACTACTATGTTTTTCTTCCCGAAATAGGAGTTGTTACTGCCATGTATGAAAAATATTGTCATGATTGAAAAATACTTTCATTAATTATAATAAATATTGTCATGTTAGATGCACTGTATGTTAACTCTCAACGTGTGTATTAACACACTCACACAAGCTATCTTTCAAGCTAAACTAATCAACGAGTATGGGATAAAACTCACTCATATATTAATGAATAAACTTGGGCTTTAAATAACCCCAAATACAATGCTTGATAAGAGTAAATAACAACTTCCTAAAGTGTAGCCATATTGCACGTATAACCACTTCCTAGTTAATGGATCAAACAACTCCTACAATTACTCTAACTACTTGACTTATTCAAAACAAATAAAAGCATCAATAATAAATTGTTTTCTACGTATGCACGTCCACATAAGCCCTCATGCACACGTTGGATCACTTTCAATACTGTACTGCAATTATTTGGCAGTCACGTCTACAAGATGACAGTAAATAATGTCATTTTAGCCCTACTTCAAGAATAAAAATATAGTAGTAAGTAGTCATATTTTGGAATTCCAAACTCCATTTACTCCTATTTTGAGAAATCTCCCTAAATATTTTCCACAAAATCTTATCTATGCTTGGCACCTAAAAATATTTTCTCACAAAATCTTATCTATGCTTCGCACCTGAAAATATTTTCTCACAAAATCTCATCTGTGTTGCACAGGCAACCATTTTCCAGTTTTCACAATGGGGAGGGGAGTGTTTTTTAAATGGCCTATCAGCCGTTCTTTACTTTTTCACTTGACTTTAGCTATTGGATGTGGTCAAACAACTAATCTAGTGGTTGGTAAATTGCTTTTTTATTTCAATTTCGTTGTGTGACTGTTAAACAGCTTGATTTCCCTGAAAGCATTTTCCTCCAGAAGTATTCTCTGGAAGCATCATTTATTCATTTTGCTGGAAAGAAACAAGCGGTGCCGTATTGTAAATATTTCTTTGATTGGAACTCAGGGAGAAAGAATTTCACCTGACGATGTTACATTCGTTGGAGCAATCATGGCATGCACACATGGAGGAGGCATGGTAGCAAGAGGATGGGAGCTCTTCACGTCCATGGAAAAAAAGTTCTCCATTGCTCCCAAACTGGAGCATTACGGATGCATGGTTGACCTTTTAGGACGTGCGGGCAATTTGGAAGAAGCATATGATCTCATTCAAAACATGCCAATGAGACCTGATTCTGTTGTTTGGGGGACTCTATTGGGAGGGTGCAGTTTCCACTGCAACGTTGAACTTGCAGAGAAAGCAGCACACTTCCTCTCTGAATGGGAACCATGGAATCCAGGAAACTATGTCATTCTTTCAAATATATATGCAAGGGCAGGGAGGTGGGATGGGGTTATGCGTCTAAGGAAGGTGATGAAGGGATCCCATATAAGAAAGGGGGCAGGTTACAGCTTCATCATTGAAGGAGGAGGCCAAATGCATAAGTTTATTGTTGAGGACAAGTCACACCATAGAACTGATGAGATATATGCACTACTCAATGACATCGTAGACAAGTGTAAACTTTGTGTTAATGGCATTTATATTGATTCTGATTTTGCTGGGTAGGAGCCCTCACCCTCGACAGAAGTAATTTTGGCCAAAGTTGTAAAAGTCGAATTTTTAGAATGAACTTCAAATCTTCAGATTTTTTTAGAATTTTTATTATGTTAATAATAATTACCCAGAATGAAAGTATGAAACAAACCTATAAATTTGCAATTGACATTACTCGTGGGTCGTGACTTGAAGAATTATAAATATTGTGTCATGAACTAGATTTACATGTACCTTTTAGTGTCAAAACAATTAATAAAAATAATAATAAACAATAAATATAAAATAACAATTAATATACTTGAAAACAAGTATGACATCGAAATATATTCTTTTCTGAAAGCCATATAAAAATATAATTTTCGGTCATTTGTATGAAAACGTTTATTTTATTCCTATTGCAATTATATACCATGTCCATCATATAATGATTTTCTGAACACTTGCATTGAAAAGTTCATTTCTATAAAGTATAAACTTTCCATGATTTCATATGCTCTAATGCTCTTCTAAAATGATGTTTTTGCTTCTATTACGATTTTTTGCACATGAATTATGAATTGCGATGTAACCAGTGACTCAAATGGATTCATCAATGTAAAATCATACTACCATTTGCCTTTGTTGTAGACACATTAATTTTGATTTTAACAACTTTAATTTTACCGTTTGCCTTTGTTTAAGACACATAAATTAATTTAAAAATTAAAAATTATTGAAATGAAAGAAATGAGCAAGTCTATTAATGTCCTCTATTAACAGAGTATTGGGCATCCAGTCTTGGTGAGGAAGTGTTAGGCGTATATGGAAAATCCCACCAATATTACAGGTTCATTGCGTAAAACTCCAAAGACAAATGAATGCCTTGATATATTTGGCTGGAGCCTGGAGAAGTAGCTCTCAGGAAGATGTAGAGAGCAAGAATAACTCACAATTACACCCGCGACCACCTAATTTCCCAATCTACCTCCACCCCACCCCCAACTTACAACCTTTTCCCAAACCCTGCAAGTTTTCGAGCAACTCCGAATATAAGAGCTTTGGTGAGGAGTCCACGGTCAATGCTGCAAGCAAGGGCAACCGCTCCACCAACAATGACAAGCTTAGGCACATTCCTTCCCATAGTTGGGTTATTATCCTTTGAAGAATCACCGCAAGCTTCTATGTCACTAACACTCTGTCTTCTTCTCCCCAGTGACTCCAAATCATCAGAAGTCACTTTGGTGTTAAGTTGGGCCATGAAAGCGCATCTTGACAATGGGGCTTCCACAGATGATGCTCTATATTTCTGATATCCACGTAAACCTGAGTCGATCTTCTTGACTGCTCCCCACATTCCCTGCCGAACACCAAGTTTGGCAATTTCCCATGGTATACCCATGTCCTCATGATGGAAGAGTATCACCTCACATGCACTCATCTCACCATCTCTCGAAGATTCAGCTGTTCCATTGAAAAAATTACTAATCTCAGTTTATGAATGTAAACGAATAGCTAATAGGTCATTTGAACAAATCAATTAGACAAAAAGAAGCAAGTTCAATGGGCTACAACTGGAAACTTTTAATAATCACAGGATGACTTCTTTACCCTACTCAAGCATGTTCCGGAAACCACTAGAAACTTCCCGTGACAGCAAGTCCAGAAATGGAAAATCATTATAGTCGAATGACCAAAATCAGAAATTTATCTTGTCAAGTAGTCAACACAAGCACATTTTTGCATATTTTATATTATTATTACCTGGTCGAATACACCAGCTTGAATAATACAAATCAACACGCCTTGGTTTGTTTTTTCGTGGAACGGATGAATTCCTCACACCCTGCAAAATGTTGCAATGATCAGTCATCTCTAAACAATCAACTTTTAAGGATTTGTTTGATTCATGGATTTCATAGGCAAAGGAAGGAGAGGGGTTATATTTATTTATTTTAAAAGTATTTTTATTTGAAGGTAAAACCTATATACAAATTCAAGGTCTAACTAGTCATATGATGATTTTTGGTCTAAAACTAACAAACATAGCACATACTCCATGTATTAGTTATTAGTAAAATAAGAGTCAGAGTCTTCCTCCCCCTTTTCTCTGAAATCATCAAATCAAACAGGCCCTAAGAAAAAACTACTTGAGGATTGTCAAAAACTTTAGCAATTATACTTTTTAGCAGTGTTTTAAAAAGAAAACTACCCTAGCAGCAAGCAGGAAATGTTGCAAAGTTTCAAATTCTTTTACACCTTAAATTTCTTTTGCTCACCTTAGTAACACAGTAATACGTATTTCCAGATTTCCATATTCGACGGCCAATAATGTATTCTCTATCACTGCAGAAGAACGGAAACTGCAGCAAAAACATAGAAAAACAGAAGTAGTTAAGAATATCGGCCAATTAATGAGTAGATAGATTCAAAGGGAAACAATACATAAAATGGAAGAAGTAGCCCATACCTTGCGTACCCAGTGGACCACCATGGTTCCAGTGTTAGGATAATCTTCCAGCATTTCAGCATGTAACAGCATGTCATCCCACTTCGTTCGAAACTCATCATCCCAAAAGAAATCTCTCACCAATTCGGGGCTAGCATCTTCATATACAGTTCTGCTTCGATATTGCGGAGGTCCATTCTAAACACGCATCAAACTTAGTTATTACATGTAAGATGAGTAGATCCTCAACCTTAGAGCAAGATTAGTATGAAGTCATATATTTTAGTTTATACTTTTATATTGGGTAGCAGCAAACCATATCAAGTGTCTGTTTGGTAAGCCTTTTTTTTTGCTTAACTTTTTAGTTAAAAGTGCGGAAATGGTTAACGATGGGGAAAAAGGTTGAATGTACTTTTCGATTGTATTTCTTATTCATTTTATCAACAAAATATATTTTAGTATCTTTTTTTATAATTGAAGATTCTGCCAATTTCAGCTGATTTAATAAAACCTATTCTTACCAAAAAGGATCTAAGACTTACAAGATCAACCCGATAGAAGAAGTGGCAAAACTAACATATGTAAGTTCGTATCTTTGTATTTAACCAGTATAGTTGGAGTAAATAGATACTTTTATGTTGCATTGGTTAGGGATGTTGAAGACATACTATCATCATTTAAGCTCAGCTTGTAACTTCGAAGGATTTATGCAGTTTCCTATTTATATCTTAGCTCACAATATCCATAAGAAGGGGTTAGTACCTCAGGATCTCTTCGCCATGCCTGATAACTCATGTTCTTCGCAGTCCTGTCCATCATCTGAATCCAGGCAGGGCCACCATCTTTCTCTTCAACTAATTGATACAGGTGATGAAGGTCACTATCATCTACAGCTTCAGAATTTCCACTTTCCCGAAGCAAAGATGAACTGAAAATATCCCAATGCAATGCCCAGTCAGTCAGAAAGAATCCAAAATCAGAAATTTGCTTTATTTTATTATCGATTATGTTTAACTCTATTCCAATAACATTCAAGTTAGTATTAATATAGGTACAAATGATGAAGGTCACTCATCGAAACTTCAGAACTTCCACTTTCCAGAAGCAACTATGAACTGAAAAAAATCCCAATGCAATTCCCACTGTCAGTCAGAACTCAGAAATAATTCAAAATATGAAATTTGTTTAATTTTACTATCGGTTAGGTTTAACTCTATTCTAATAACATTCAAGTTAGTATTAATATCGGTACACATGATGAAGGTCACTCATCTACAACTTTAGAACTTCTACTTTCAGGAAGCAACTGTGAAGCTAAAAAATCCCAATTCAATTTCCACTGTCAGCAAGAATTCAAAATATGAAATTTGCTTCATTTTTTATTATAGATTAGGTTAGCTCACTTCTAACAACAATCATATCAGTATTAATAATTAGAAAAGGACAAAAACTTCTACTAAACAACAAAAACAGAAACCGAACATGATACAAACTTGATATATCAAATCAAATAATAATAGGAAATAGTCTAACAAATAAATAGTAAAATGACAAACCTAACTTCTATTTTGGATTGAAGGAGTATAAAATTCGACCAACCTGGAGTTAGGGGTGAGATGTGAGATCTCATCAGACATGAATCTGGAGCTAAAACCAGTGAAGAGCTGCTGCAGGCAAGAAGAAGAGGACACCATGGAGACAAAGGAATCTCTACTGGAACAAAGATCAGCCCATCTGGGCCTCCAGGCCCAACCCACAAGTACTCCAACAACCACAGCCACCCAGATAGGCGTCGTCCACATCATCAGCTCAAGTATACCATCTCCGATCGATTTCTTTTGGAAAATTTCAACCAACGCCGATAATAAAGCCATTAACCCCAACCAAGAAATTGAAACCAATAAATTAATACACACCCGGCTATTCAATCCAACGGATAAAGATAGAATCTTTAAGTGCAGTGATGACTATAACTCTATATGGGTTCCAAAATAGAAAGAAGAAAGAGATAAGAGATTTACAGTAAACTAACAAGAAGATAGAATAAGCCCGGAAAAATTAAATATGTACTGCGGTGGAATGGATAAAGATAAACAGGGGAATTTGGAGAATATAATACTAATGGAATGCGGATGTTTTCTGCAGAAGAAGAGAGTGGAATGGGGACAAAAACTACTTGTGTCCGAAGAGCTGCAAAGGATAAGATTTTCTGAATGGGAAGAAGAGATGATCAAGAATCAGATAAACCAGCGGTCAGGATTGCCATGGGCAAGATTTATTCCGCTTCGTCCCCTCAATTTTAATGCTCTTTCAGTTTCCTCCCCAAACAATATTTTTGCTAATGGAGTATCCGCAAATATATTTATGACTTGATGTTGATAATCATTCAATGGTGCTGAGGCGTTCAGTGTTGTGACTTGTGAGAGCGATTGCAAAGAAAACCACAAGGAAAGAATTGACACGCCGCATGCGTGGAGCTTACTTGTGCTTAAAAGGATGAGTTCTATTCAATTTTCCATAAGAAAGAATGTCAAGAAGAATGTCGTATATGTAAGGGTGAGATTGAAGATTTCAGCCACATTTATAACATGACAATGAAAATGAGCCTCATTTTAAATAGTTGTGAGTTAAAAGACAAGTCAATACAACTAATCAAATTAGTTGGCTGTAGAAAAAAAGTGGGTGTTATAAATAAAAGCATGTTTCTTACATTCCATTCTAAAAAGTGTAAATTTAGAAAATGATTTGCCTCACTCTAAATTAATTCTTTTTCTTTTTTGAAGCTTAATAATTTTTTCACTTGTTTTTCATTGTTTACAAAAAATATATTAAAAATCTTAATTGATGGAGTATATGGCCCGGGAACCCCCGGCCCACAGACTCCTACTACTCCAGCGAAGGCCCAACAGGCCCAGAAGGCTCAACAGGCCCAGATCACAGCGCCCAGAGTACCAAGCAGCCCGCACTACGCGTCAGGGGCGCCTTCGGCCCCCTGGCCGAAGGCTCTAAACTCTCACAGGACGGGCTTCGCAAGCAAATTAAGAAACTAGGAGAAAACGGCGAAAACAGTAGCCCTCGGCACTGTGAGCCCTCGGCACCAGAGTGCCATCGGTTGGAGGAGCCCTCGGCCATTGCTCTATAGCCGAAGGCATCTCACCCGACAAGATATCCGCCTCACATGCGTGCAGATCACCGTACCCTGCACAGACGTCCCATCCAACAGCCGCATTAAATGCGGCCACATGCGGCTGCCAGTGCCAACCAGTTGAGGTGACCCCTCGGCCAATGAGCGCTTGACACGTGTCCCTGTCCGGCATTTATTGCTACTATAAATAGCACCCCATTTCCTCATTTGTAACCACGCTGGAAACGGCATTCATACTGAATACACACTCTCTCTCTACTTTTACTTACTTGCTCTGACTTCTCTCTAAGTTATTCCCCGTAATAACCCTTCGGATATATACCCCCGGGTAGACTATCCATCATTTGGTGCTCTCGTTGAGAGCTCGAACAATCAAGTAAGAAACCCTCCCCCTCGACCAAACACAAAACACTAGCCCTCTATCAAAATGGTGAGGACAACACGTGCCAACTCAAAGAACGTAGAAGACAAGAACCTGGCCCTCGGCGACGTCAACGCCCCCGAAGCCTCTCACAGGGCTCCCGAGGGCGGTGTCATTGCTGGGCTGGAACAGGCGGCTGTCGACCTACGCCTTCAGATCCAACAAAATGCCCCCGATGCCCGCCTCGGCATCGAGGCCAAGAAGAAAAACCGGAGCGATGACCAAGTCAGCCCTCCGGTTCTCACCATCGACGTACAATCGGCGCTCTCCGCCTTCATCCAAACGCTCACCCAGAACCCGGGTGCCTTCGGCACCCTGGCTCCTGCTCACCCTCAGATCGGGGAAAATATCATACTTCCCCCTCTGCCACACCCCTTCGGAAATCCCACCCCTCAGGTGAGAAACGACGAAGGGGTGGTGGCCCAAGATACGTCCTCCCAGGAAGTTCAGTCCCGGGACCGCCATAATGACAACAGGGAAAGGCCCCGTACTTCCGCCCTCAACCGGCTCGGAGGAGGGCCAGACCGCCGGGGGGTCCAAGACCGCCTCGGGGGGAAAGCACTCCAAAGGCCCCAGGAAAGCGGGGGATCTGTTTCGAGGGCAGACGAGGAGCGTCCCCCTCGGGACAAAGGCAAGGCACCCCTTCATGCCGATGATGCTCGGCACCAAATCAACCAGGCCCACTCGGCCCGGGTTCGTTCGCAGGGGGCGGAGACCCTCCCGAAGGATCCCCGGGATGAGATTATTGCGGCCCTCCAACACCGGCTTGACGAGATGGAGTCCAACAAAGCTCGCGCCACCACCTCCACCCCTCGTTCAGATCTCAAATACGAGGCCATGATGGCCAAAATGGAGGAGTTACAGAAGAAGGTGGCCGAGGGCTCCGGGGAACCCGTCATCCAGCTCCGGACTCGGACGCCATTTACCCCAAGGGTATTGGCGGCCCGGATCCCGGAAAAATACCGAGGGCAACATATACAGCCCTACAACGGAAAAACGGACCCCCAGGAACATTACAGCAAGTACCAGAACAGCATGATGATGGTAGGGGCGTCGGACGAATATTTGTGTCGTTGGTTCCTCTCCACCTTAGAGGGGCCGGCATACGAATGGTTCAACAGGCTACCCGAGGGCTGTATTGATTCCTGGCAAGAACTCGCCCAGCGATTCTTGACACAATTTTCCGGGAGGCGTCGCACAAGGAAGCACTTCTCCCACCTCCTAACCATACGCCAGAAGAGGGATGAGACCCTTCGGGACTTCCTAGAGCGCTGGAGGACGGAGGCCGACAAGGTCGACGGTGTTGATGACGGGACCCTCCTGGCCCTCCTACAAACTGTCCTCCGCACCGGCAACTTTTCAAGGAGCCTCATCATTGAACCCCCCCGCGACTACATAAGGGCTTTGCAGCGGGGGGACCGATATGCTGAGGCCGAGGAGGTGGAGAAGTATCACCAGCATCCGGACCAGCAGCCCCCGAGGGCTAACAACAAGCATAACCGAGGGCCGGGGGCTCCTCCAAATCGCCCCAAGGCTTCGGGACCCTCTGATGACCGCCCTCGGCAAGGCCAAGCCAAGCCCGGGGGAGGATATAAGAGCAACCCCAAGACTTGGGCACAGCCCATTCTCCTGGACCGCCCTCGGACACCATTGACGCACCCCGTCAGCATCATCCTCGATTTTGCCGAGGAGAGGGGCCTCGTTGAGCGTGATTCTCGCGCACCCCCGGAGGTACACGCTATCAACCCTCAGTTCCCCTACTGTCGCTTCCATCGGCACCAGGGGCACATGACCGATGACTGCCATCAGCTGAAGACGGCCATCGAGAGATTAATACAGGCGGGGCACCTGTCCCAATTTGTCCAGAGCCCTCGGCAGGAGGGACTTTCTCATCAGGGACCTCCCCGAGGGCACCATACGAAGGTAAATGCCTGGGTAAATCCGAACACCATCCCCCTCGGCAAGAAGAGGGAGATCGGGAACTTGGAAGAGGAGGAGGAGTACCCCCACTACCAGGAGAAGAAACGCCACATCCTCATGATCACCGGTGGCAATACAGGGGGCGATTCCACCAGCCAGCGAAAGAAGTGGGCTCAATCGCTTTACGTGGGGGAAGTCACTCATATGCCCCCGGTAAAGCGACTGAGGGAGGAACCCATCACCTTCACCAACGCAGACCTCCCCCCCACTTCTTCCCCTCACAGGGATGCCTTTGTGATTCGGACGGAGATAAACGACACCATCATTCACCGAACTTACGTTGACACGGGCAGCTCCGTCAATGTAATGTACCTCAGCACCTTCAGAGAGCTGCATCTGGAGAGGGGGTCCCTTCGGCCCATTAAGACCCCTCTTGCCGGCTTCACCGACGACACTATTGATTCCGAGGGGGTAATAACCCTCCCGGTGATCTTCGGCGACGGGCTCCATAGAGCCCAGCTCGAGGTGGAGTTCGTCGTCGTCAACATTGACTGCGCCCACAACATCATCCTCGGCCGGCCAGCCCTCGAGGACCTCGAAGCCATCATCTCCATGAGGCATCTCTGCCTCAAGTTTCCCGCCGAGGGGGGAATTGGCTACTCCCGGGGGAACCAGAAAATTGCCCGCGCCTGCTATCTTCAGGTCACTAAGAAGGTAAGCAAGACGGAATTCCGTGTTGACACCATCACCGGAACCATCGACCAAGAGGAAAGAAGGCCGAGGGCTGAACCGGCCGAGGACGTAGAAGACTTTGCGCTCGATCCGGCCCAGCCGGAGAGAGTCGTGAAGATTGGAGCCCAGCTCCCTGAAGATTTGAAGACCGGTATCACCGACGCCCTCCGCGCCTACTCCACTGTCTTTGCATGGGGGCCGGAGGACATGCCGGGAATCAACCGAAGGGTCATCACCCACCGCCTCTCGGTGGACCCTTCGGCAAAGGCAGTGCAGCAACGAAGAAGACCCCTCTCCGCCGAGAGGAGGGAATTTGTGAAGAAGGAGGTCGCCATGCTCCTCTCTATTAAGCACATCAAGGAGGTGAAATACCCCTCATGGCTAGCGAATGTGGTCCTGGCACAGAAGCCCCCTACCTTCCGCATGTGCGTGGACTACACCGATCTCAACAAGGCGTGCCCTATGGACCCGTTCCCTATACCAAATATTGATCAACTAGTGGATGAGACCGCAGGGTGTGAGATCATGTCCTTCCTCGATACCTAGTCATGGCCTTCGGCCTAAAGAACTCAGGGGCCACCTACACCCGGATGGTGGCCCGGGTCTTTCAAGCCGTCCTAGGGCGCACCATGGAGGCCTATGTTGATGACATGATCGTCAAAAGCAAACAATCTTCCAGCCATGCTGACGACCTCCGGGAAATCTTCGCCATCATGCAAAAATTCAACCTTCAGCTAAACCCGAAGAAGTGCACCTTTGGCGTCCAAGGAGGCAAATTCTTGGGCTACATGGTGAGCCGAAGGGGTATTGAGGCCAATCCCGAGAAGATCCAGGCCATCATCAACATGGAGCCCCCACGCAACGTGAAGGAAGTTCAACGGTTGACGGGCCGCCTGGCAGCCCTCAACCGCTTTCTATCTAAATCGGCGGAGAAGTCTCTACCCTTCTTCCAGATCATGAGGAAGACGGCTGGCTTTCTATGGACTACAGAATGCCAGGGGGCTTTCGACGAACTCAAGCGGTATCTATCTTCACCCCCCGTGCTCTCAAAACCAAAGGTAGGGGAAACCCTCTATCTCTACCTTGGGGTCAGCCCGGCGGCCATCAGCTCTGTGCTCATCCGGGAGGAAGACGGCATCCAACATGCCATCTTCTACGTCAGCAAGACCCTAAGGGAAGCCGAGCTCAGGTACTCCCCTGTGGAAAAAACGGTGTTGGCCATTGTTTGGACTGTCAAGAAGTTGGGCCACTACTTTCAGGCTCACCCGGTTCAGGTCCTCACTCATCAACCCCTCGGCGCCCTCATGAGGAGCCCCACCAGTTCCTCCCGCATGGTTAAATGGGCTATCTTCTTGAGCCAGTACAACATTGACATCCGTCCAAGGCCTGCCATCAAGGGCCAAGCCCTGGCGGACTTTGTGACGGAATGTACCGCAAGGGCAGCCACGGACGGGGAGCCCTCGGCTACCTCAGACGACTGGTGGACCCTCTACACTGACGGCTCCTCCGCGACCAAAGCATGCGGAGGAGGGGTAGTCCTCATTACTCCCGAGGGCTTCAGGGCCTACTATGCAGTCCGCTTCTCCTTCAAGGTCTCCAACAATGAGGCCGAATATGAGGCCCTCCTATGTGGCCTTCGGCTGGCTGCCAACATGAGGGCTCGGCAGATCCACATCAAATGCGACTCCAGGTTGGTCGTTGGCCAAATCTCCGAAGAATATGAGGCCAAGGAGGGGAGAATGAAACAGTACAAGGAAGCGGCCAAGGAGTTGCTTAAGGTATTTGAGGCACACTCTCTCACTCAAATACCGCGGGCTCAGAACTCCGAGGCCGACATATTATCTAAGCTCTCGGCCGACTCCCCCGAGCACATCTCCAAAATTGCCAAAATCGAGGAACTCAGCCTATCAAGCATCCATGCAAGCCCCGTTATGAACATACAACAACGTCAGGAGGATTGGATCTCAGATATCACCACCTTCATCTCCACAGGGCAGCTACCCGAGAATGAGGCCCGCGCTAAACTGGCAAAACTGAGGGCTCCCAGCTACACCATCGAAGATGGAAGGCTCTACAAACGATCTTACAATGGCACGCTACTTCGGTGCCTTCATCCAGATGAAGCCGAGGTCGCAATGGAGGAAGTGCACAGTGGCACTTGCTCAGCTCACCAGGGACCCTTCTCCATGTCCCGAAGGCTCATTCTCCAGGGCTACTTCTGGCCAACCATGGCCAGGGATTGTGCTGACCTTGCCCGGAGGTGCACCGCATGTCAACATTTCCAGAAAGCTCCCGGTAGGCCAGCGGTCAACTATGCCCCCATCAGCACCTCTGTCCCATTTTCTCGATGGGGGATAGACCTTGTGGGCACTCTGCCGAGGGGTACCTCCAACAACAGATACATCATTGTGGCCGTCGACTATTTTACCAGGTGGGTGGAGGCTGAACCCCTCGCCAGCATCACAGAGGCGAAGTGCCGTCACTTCGTCCTCAAGAACATCCTCACAAGGTTTGGCGTCCCCCAGTAGATCATCTCCGACAATGGGACACAATTTGAGGCAGCCCCCTTATGTGCCCTTCTGGAGGCATGGGGCATCAAACACACCTTCTCCTCCGTTGCCTACCCTCAAGGCAACGGGCAAGTAGAGAACGCCAACCGGACCTTGCTCGAGGGCCTCAAAAAGAAGCTGGAGGCCGAGGGCGGTGGCTGGGTGGAAGAACTGCACAACATCCTTTGGGCCTACCGCACCACCCCTCGGCGAGCAACAGGTGAAACACCCTTCTCCCTCTGCTACGGTTTTGAAGCCAAAGCTCCTACGGAAGTCACCCTTCCCACCCGAAGGGTGATCCAATATGACCCCGAGGTCAACGACAGCAACATGGCCCTCGACCTCCACCTCATTTCAGAACGCCGGGAGCAGGCCTTCATCCGGGCGGAAAACTACCGAAGGCAAGTTAAAAGCTACATCGACGCCAAAGTTCGCACCCGAGAATTTCAAGTGGGGGACTATGTCCTCCGGAGGAGGGAAGCCAGCCAACCAACCGAGGGAGGAAAAATGGCACCAAAATTCGAAGGCCCCTACATCATAGCAGCCATCATCAAACCTGGGACCTACAAGCTCAAACGCCCCAACGGGAAAGAAGTCCCTAGGCACTGGAATGTACACCACTTAGTTAAATTTTATCAATAATGTAAGAGCGGCCAAGCCCTCATAACTAGTGAATGTACTATCCTATGGCCCAAGGCCTTCAATTTCGAAGAATGAAGATACATTCAAGACATCAAGCCCTCATACTGACTACAGGCCCCCGGCCTCACCACGAGAAGAACCCCCTCCGGCACCAAGTGCCGAGGGCGGACACCATCAACACCTACAACAACGGTGAAAACCCCACGTGTTTTCAGTCAAGATCCCTCGGTACCAAGTACCGAGGGAGGGAACTCCTATCACCAACAACAAGGAGCACCATGTGTTTCATTTCCCTTCGGCACCCAGTGCCGAGGGTACATTCCCACCTTCAACATCAAAAAAGAAAAAGATGAGAACACCAAGTGTTCCTACAGAAGACCCTTCGGCACCCAGTGCTGAGGGTACACCTCCATCATCAAACATCGAAACGAAGAAAAAACACCAAATGTTTCAAAGAAGACCCCTCGGCACCCAGTGCCAGGGATATGCTCTCCTATCAACTTCCAAGCATCTGTTGGGAAACACCAAGTGTTTCATTTGGAGACCCTTCGGTACCAAGTACCGAGGGTAGACGCCTACATCAACTACGACAAATGAGAACACCCAGTGTTCCTACAGAAGACCCCTCGGTACCAAGTACCGGGGGCTACACATCGAAACTAACACCAAGTGTTGTTTCTAAAAGCCGTACCCCACGAGGACGCATATACCGAAGGCGCCACCATCGGTGCCGGCGGCACGTAGTGCCCCCGGCCATTTGCAACTAGTGTGCAAATGAAAACCCTTCCTTGAAACGCTTTCCGCATCACTACCCCCAGGGTATGACAGGCATGAGAAATGCCCAGGATTCGACTTTCAAAAACGGAACGCTATCCGCGTCACTACCCCCGGGGTATGACAGGCATGAGAAATGCCCAGGATTCGACTTCCAAACCGAAACGCTCCCCGCGCCACCACCCCAAGGGTATGGCAGGCCACGGACTATGTCTAGCGCCGAGGGGACGACTTTCAAAAATGAGGCGCTTTCCGCGCCATCCCCCAAGGGGAGGCAGGTTACGGACCACCATATCTTGTGCCCAGGAAACGTCCCTCGATCCCCTCGGAACTCGGAAGGTTAACCCGAGGGAGGAGAGCCATTGGTGTGTTCTGATGGTCTCCTAATAGGCCCAGCCTTACCAAGAAACCAAGTTTCTTGATGCCTTCCCTTCACCACCAACCAAAAAAAAAGGGGTGAAGGGGAGTAGACTCAGCGAGAAATCAAAGAGTACACTCCAACAGATCACAACAAGCCGAGGGCTCCCCACGGGAACACCTCCGGTAACTGAAGGCTCCTATTTCCCGAAGGATACTACTCGAACAAATAGCATCGAGAAACGGCTAAGTCCACTGCCTGGTCACCTCCGGTCACACAAACACCGAAGGCTTCAACAATACAAAGGGACTGGACTATCCAAAGTACACTAAGACGGTACCTTCAAACATATACCGAAGGCATCTGTTACGTGCTAGTACCGAGGGCCCTTTCCCCATGACAAGGGTCAACTTCTACGACTTTTAAAGTGTATGCCGAGGGCACACACTCCTCATTGGCTTTCTTCACAGCAACAGGATTCAACATCAATTTATGCTTAGAAAAAATTCTAAGTCCTGAATGAGCAGCCCCGGGCATCTCGCAAAGTAATGTAGAGTCAGAGGGCACCTATCACCCGAAGGCTACACAAGGAAGCAGCACTTGAAAAAATTCTATGTCCTAAAGATGGGCCCCCGGCTCAATCAGTACTGCAGCTAGAGGAATATGACAGTCGAAGGCCATACATCAAGAAGGGATGCCATCTCCCGAAGGCTCCCAAGGGAAAATCTACACTTAGAATATTTTCTAAGTCCTACATGTTTTTCCCCCGGTCAACTACTCATACATCAAGAAGGGATGCCATCTCCCGAAGGCTCCCAAGGGAAAATCCACACTTAGAATATTTTCTAAGTCCTACATGTTTTTCCCCGGTCAACTACTCATACATCAAGAAGGGATGCCATCTCCCGAAGGCTCCCAAGGGAAAATCCACACTTAGAATATTTTCTAAGTCCTACATGTTTTTCCCCGGTCAACTACTCATACATCAAGGAGGGATGCCATCTCCCGAAGGCTCCCAAGGGAAAATTTACACTTAGAATATTTTCTAAGTCCTGCATATTTTCCCCCCCGGTCAGCTACTCGTACATCATGGAGGGACGCCATCTCCCGAAGGCTCCCAAGGGAAACTCTACACTTAGAAGATTTTCTAAGTCCTACATATTTCACCCTCATCTCAAGGGACCTAATCGCCGAAGGCTGCCTATCAATCGAAGGCTACAGTACACAAGGAATCAACACTCAAGAAAATTTCCTAGGTCCTAAAGAATTGGCCCCCGGCCTACTCAATATTTCAGTTGAGGCTCCACAGTAGCCGAAGGCTACGTAACGTACTACACTTGCAAAAAAATTCTAAGTCCTGTACATTGGGCCCTCGGTCCAACAATCACACATCAGGAAGGGATGCCATATCCCGAAGGCTCTCAAGGGGAAATCTACACTTAGAAATTTTTCTAAGTCCTAGGATTTGGGTTACTACAGATGCCCGAAGGCCTCATGCTGTGCTACACTTAGGAAAAATTTCTAAGTCCTAATTGCTGCTGAACCCTCGGTTGCATATCCAGCAAAGGGTGCCCAACTACCGAAGGCTTCCAGGGGCAAGCTACAATCAGAAAATACTCTAAGTCCTAAAACACACATTCAAAGGAACGAAGGCATACATTCAAAAATACCGAAGGCATACACTCAAGGAAAACGGAGGCATACATTCAAGAAGAAAGGAATTGGAGAAAACAAGTCATATAAACACAGCCCGAAGGCAATCATTCAATCATCAACAATCAGAGGGCAAATGTGATTACGAATAAATGTTACAAGCAGGCCGAAGCCGAAGGATGAATAATGTCACCATTACAAATACATGTTTACATAATACAAAACACATATCAAATAATGTCATTCCCGGGGGCCGCCTCCCCCGATGGCTTCGAGGTGACTTCTGCGTCGGCCTCAGGTTCGTCGCCCTCGGCTTCCTTCATGAGCTCAGAGTCCTCCAGGTCTGGCCTCTCGACATCGGGGGGAAGAAGAACGCGGATGTCTGGCTGCAGGGGGGAGCCCGTATGCTGCCGGGTCAAAGTCCTTTGGCTCGATCTTCAAGTGGCGAGCCATCCTCCGGTAGATGAGGGCTTGAGTGAAAAACTCGCCCCCATCATAGTATTGTTTACCCTTTCGGGAAACCAACTCCACGCCAGGCCCATCACACCACTCGTCGACCGAGGACTCGACGACCGAGGACAGCCATTGCTTGTGCTCCTCGGACCGCCACCCCCCTGCCAAGAACCCCGAGATTGCGTCCCCTCGGGCTCTCTCGACGGCTTCCACCTTTGCGGCCTCGGCTTCCTTGACAGCTCTCTCCAAAGCCTCAGCTGCGGACCTCTCGGCTTCTGCCCTACCCCGATCTGCGGCCTCCGCCCGCAGGGTCATCTGCCGAAGGCTCTCCTCCAGCATAGCCATCTGCCGAACAGCGTCTGCATTCTGGCGGATGAGCTCCCGCATCTTGGCCTCCTGCTCGGCCTTGCGAAGGCGCCACTCCTCTAGCCGCCGGGCTTGCTCCCCGAGGGCAATGCAGGTCTGCAAAAACAAAGGGGTTAGCGAGGCCAAACATGGTTTCTTGGCTCGAAGTAAAAAAGAAAGAAATAAACGTAAAAGACTTACTGTGAGGGAAGACAGGAGGATCCTGTCCTCGAGGGCTTCGTCTTCATCAGCCCCGAGGGCTACTCTGTCAATCTCGAGGGTGATGCCTCTCAGAAGCGCCCTCGGGTCGGCCGTACCGTTCATCACGGCCGTACCAGCCGGGAGGGAAACCATGAGGACCTCGGAAAATGGCCCCTGAACTCCCGGCGGCACTTTCGCCACCTGCATGTCCTCATTCGCCCCGGAGGCAGGGCCTTCATCAACAATGATCACCGGGGGGACTTTCTTCTCGGCATCCCCGGTCTTGGGCTTCTTGCCCTCGGGATCTCTGCCCGAGCCCTTCCTTTTGGCGGCAGCGGCAGCATCAGCACTTGGGCCCACCGACGGCCCCTCCGGTTTTTTGAAGAAGTCACCGGCGGGTTTTGGGACACCGGCGTCCGTCCCCCTCGGGCCCTTGGAGGGTTTTTTCTTCTTCAGGTCTGCAAGGCCTCTGACGTTCATCATTTTCACTGGGAAACCTGCAAAAAAAAAGGTATGGGGTTAAAATCGAGGGGTTACTGACCAAAGGCACAAAGAATAAAAAGAAAAAAAAAACACGAACAAGATAAGCTATGTGCTAAGATATGAAAACCGAGGGACCTCGTAGACTACCTCCTGTTCCCCCGAAGGCCTCAGCAAAAATGGGGTACTTCTCGTCCGCTTCCCCAATAAATCGGTATCTCCGAAAGCCGAGGGCGTAGAATCCCTTGTCGGCAGTATAGTCTTTGATGGAGACCTGCTTTGTGCGACCCTCCGGGATTTTGGCTATCACCAGGCCGTCTTTATCGAGGGCGGCGCTTCCAACCTTCCGATGCCGACGGAAGCGATCCCGAAGTTCCGCCGGAAATGGGTTCTCAGCAACCCTGACATAGCACCAGCGCTCCTTCCAGCCCTTATTGGACGAAGGCGCCTCCGTGAACAGCTTCCACCTGGCCACCTGCTGCTTGTTGGCAAAGCCCTCGGCATTCGCGTGACCCCCTCGACAGAGGTTGAAGCTCTGGAAGAACAAGTCCAGGCTGGGGGTCACCCCTCGGTCCCTACAGAGATTTAAAAAACCCGCCACGTAGGAGTGGCTATTAGGTGTCAGCTGGCAGGGTACCAAGCCAACAAACCTCAGGTACTCCCAGAGGAAGGGGTGCAGAGGGAACCGAAGGCCCATGGAGACCGACAGTACGTGTACTGCAATGCACCCCTCAGGCGCCCGAGAGAGCACGTCGTCAACTCCCGGCTCGACCACCTCGGCCGAGGGCCCTACATGTAGCTGCGTCACGTAGAGGTCCGCCCTGTCCGCCTTCGACTTTATCTCCAAGGCAGCCGTGTTGAGCCAGGAATACCCCTCCGGCATATCTACGGGTTTCCCCTGATCAGCAGCGATAACCTTCTTCTTGGGGACAGCTGCCTTGGCCTTCTTCTATGGGAACTGCATTCAGCGGCTGGGAAGTACTGGCCTCACCAGCACCCCGAGGGGGAAGGACAGCCACAGTGACCTTCGCCCTCTCCTTTTCCTCCTCCTCTTCAGCAACTTGGATGGCGAGGGCCAACTCTTCATCCTCGGCAGTTCGCTCGAATTCCTCCGCCTCGGCCTCGGCCATCAGATCCTTCTGCACCTCAGTGGCGAGGGCTGCATCACCACCATCCGAGAGCTGACCACTGCTGGACTCCAAGTCGGAGATGCCTTCGTCCTCCATCGAGGGCGTCCTCGAGATATCTTGAGAATCACTCTGGGACGACATTCACACTCTAGTTCGAGGGCTCGTAGACGCTAGTGTTTCCTAACTTTTCTATCTCCTAACCTAAGGGCACAGTACAGGTAGCTAAGAGATGAAGGGAAAGCGGGCACTGACCTTGAAAGCAGAAGTTTCGACCGAAGGCCTGATTTTCTCTCACTAGAATTTTGGGCAGAGCTTCGCTAAGACAAATGATCGCACAAGGGGAAATGGCTCTGGCCTTGGGGTATTTATAGGCGCTGGAATCCGGGCTTGGGCCCGGAAACCGGGCCTCCGGACGGACCGTCATCATTACACACCGTCGTTTCACCCAACCGGTGACGCCGCCAACGAACAGCCAGCCATCACACGCCACGTGTGCCACCCCCCCCCCCAACGGCTATATCCTGTCGTTACATATTCCAACGGCTATATTTCCAACGGCTATATTCCGGAAGCCCCCGGGTTTTCTACTTCACTCCACTTCATCAAGGATAGCCTCCGGGTGCACTCACTCAGAAGTGCCCCCGGGGTGTGCCCCACACAGCACATAACAGACGCCTTCGGGATCACTCCTTCAGAAACCCAAGGCTTCATATCAGGGCACCCCTCGGGAATTCCCCCTCAGCACTGCAAAACCGGGTAGCCCCCGGGGAGTTGCCTTCATTGACGGATAACCCGTCGCACACAGGTAATGGGAGCCCTCGGGTATCTTCATCGCCAACTAATCAACAAACAGTGGACCCCCCGGTAACAACTCCGCTGCCGCCCTCATCCAGTAGGCCCTCGATCCCCGGATTGAGGGGCTCCCCTTCGGCATCCCCAGGATATCAACGGCAAGCCTTCGGCTGATCAATACATGAGCCCTCAGAAAAAGAAGAGCCTTCGGCATTACCGTTATTCTCCATTTTTGACCAAGGTTTGACATTTTCGATTCATCATTGGGGGAATTCGGTGCACTCTTTTTCCCTCATTAGGATTTTTTCCCCCAGGGTTTTTCCTAATGAGGTTTTTAACGAGGCATCCCCCCAAAATGAAACGAAAAACGTCAGCCTTCGGCCCACAACAGCAACACAACTACTCTACTCCTTTTCACCACTTTACAAGTGCCTTAAGGAGTGGGGGACTGGAGGACCCCCTCGGGAAAATCATTAAATTACAAAATTAGTGAAATTCCAACAAACGACAAGGCAAGCCCTCAAGTCCCGACATGTGGGTAACTGAGGGACTGCCTCCGGCAGGGACATAAGAGCAACAACTCCTCACCAACTTCAGAGATCACGATGGGACAACATCAAAGGGCAAGCACAAGTTACTCCTTTTCCCTCAAGTACCTTTCGGCAAAAGGAGTGAGGGACTCCTGATGGAGTATATGGCCCGGGAACCCCCGGCCCACAGACTCCTACTACTCCAGCGAAGGCCCAACAGGCCCAGAAGGCTCAACAGGCCCAGATCACAGCGCCCAAAGTACCAAGCAGCCCGCACTACGCGCCAGGGGCGCCTTCGGCCCCCTGGCCGAAGGCTCTAAACTCTCACAGGACGGGCTTCGCAAGCAAATTAAGAAACTGGGAGAAAACGGGGAAACAGTAGCCCTCGGCACTGTGAGCCCTCGGCACCAGAGTGCCATCGGTTGGAGGAGCCCTCGACCATTGCTCTATAGCCGAAGGCATCTCACCCGACAAGATATCCGCCTCACATGCGTGCAGATCACCGTACCCTGCACAGACGTCCCATCCAACAGCCGCATTAAATGCGGCCACATGCGGCTGCCAGTGCCAACCAGTTGAGGTGACCCCTCGGCCAATGAGCGCTTGACACGTGTCCCTGTCCGGCATTTATTGCTACTATAAATAGCACCCCATTTCCTCATTTGTAACCACGCTGAAAACGGCATTCATACTGAATACACTCTCTCTCTACTTTTACTTACTTGCTTTGACTTCTCTCTAAGTTATTCCCCGTAATAACCCTTCGGATATATACCCCCGGATAGACTATCCATCATTAATTTTTTATAACCTTTCATATGACACCAATATTGTACATATAAAGTTTAAAAAAAAAACTTCTAGGACCTGAAATACCTAAAGTAGATTTAAGTGACAAAATTGAGATTGAAGTGATAAAATCAAGATCTCACGATTAATGTTTTTACATCTTTCAATTATTCTTTTCAAAAATAGGCTTGGAGTAATAATAAAAAAACTAAACTACAAATTTATTTAAATTACATTGGGAATGTTTGAATTTTTAAATCATAATAATTCGTAAAAAGAATAAAATTGATTATAATAATAATCGTAAGGATTTAATTTACAAATATTGTCGTGAGTGAATAAGTGTAAAAAATCATGTGATCTAAATTTTAAGAAAAAACTTGGGTCCAAAAACTTCAACAGTTCAAACTTTTTAAAAAAACTTTATATATGTGGTATTGGTGTCATATGAAGATAATTAAAAATTATGAGTTTTGATATATTTTTTATAAACAACGGAAAACAAATGCAAAAGTTATAAGGATTTTAAAAATTAAGAGATTTATTTTGTTGAGGGTCCCACAACATGTTGCCATGTACACATATTTTAAACTTTTTGGAATGGTTTTCCAAAATGTTGCACTCTTGCGTCATTCTCTCAAAAAAAGTTATGAGTAATTATTACGGAGTATATACCATATGTTTAGGGCTTTGTTAGCTTGTTTAGATATTAATGAAATTGGTTGAATTTAAAAAAATGCTAAATTATAAAAAACATTATATGAAAAAATTAAAATGGTGATTTACAATAACTTTAGCAGTTTAGCCAATTCAGTCAAAAGGGATAACTTTAACTTTACTTATTTTCATTATTACACGTTAAAAAAAATGGATGACAAGTTAAAAACATCGATTACCAAACGTGTGCTTTGATCTCTTCATTTCATGAAGAATTTCTGATATTATTATTTATTTGTATTTGGAAGGAGACATGCTTGATTTATTATGGTGTTAAAACTAAAAACTTGATAAGGGAGTCAAAAGGTTAGTTTGACTAAGTTAGCCATTTTAAAAAATATTTCACGTTGACCTTTCAAATATTTAATATAGGTGTGTTTGTGAGTTATTTCCCAGAGCTTTCCCAAATGTGCGCCAATTGGGGTGGATGCAGCTTTGTCAAGGTTAATTTGGGGAAGAGAATGGTTACGATGTTTTA